CCCAAATCTTTTTGAATAGAGGGTAAAGCATGCTTGTGGTTACTTCGACGTCTGATTTCAGTGCTTCAGCTGGTATGTTGTCGGGTCCTGCTGCTTTCCCGTTCTTGATTTGTCTGACGGCCATTCTAATTTCTTCCGTCGTTGGTGGGTTGACATCTATAGGAAGATCTGTGTGTGCTGCTTCGATGTTCGGTGGATTCATTGGAGCCGGCCTATTCAGGAGTTCCTCGAAGTATTCTACCCATCTGTTTCGCTGTTGTTGAATTTCAGTGATTGGCTTGCCTTCTTTGTCTTTGACCGGCCTCTCTGGTTTACTGTATTTCCCTGATAGTTTCTTCGTTGTATCGTAAAGCTGTTTCATATTTCCTTCTCTAGCAGCTTTTTCTGCCGTCGTTGCTAATTCTTCCACGTATTTCTTCCTGTCGGCTCTAATGCTCCTCTTCACTTGCTTGTTTGCTTCTATGTATTCAGCTTGTGCTTGGACTTTCTCTGCTCGTGTTCGGCTGTTGTTAATTGCTGCCTTCTTGTTCTTCCTTTCTTTGATCTTGTCCAGTGTTTCTATAGAGATCCATTCCTTATGATGGTGTTTCTTTAGGCCCAGAACCTCTTGACACGTTGAAGTCAATGTTTCTTTGATGCCTTTCCAGTTGTCCTCCATGGTAGTTTCTTCTTCCTTCAGTAGATCTTGAAAGGCTTGGAACCTGTTGTTGAGAGCTATCTTGAATTCATTGAGTTTGTCAGTATCTCGAAGGAAAGCTGTATTGAACCTTTGTAGTGCTGTTTGTCCACTTGTCCAGTTCTTTTTTAGCTTCAGTTTTAAATTGGCTACAACTAGGTGGTGATCTGAAGCTACGTCAGCTCCTCTCCTGGTTCTCACATCTTCCATTGTCCTTCGGAATTTTTTGTTGATGCAAATATGGTCTATCTGGTTCTCTGTAGTGTGGTCCGGTGAGATCCATGTAGCCTTGTGTATACGTTTGTGTGGAAATATTGAGCCTCCTATGACTAATTTGTTGAATGCACACAAATTTGCAAATCTTTCTCCATTTTCGTTCCTCTCTCCCAGTCCATGTCGTCCCATAATATCTTCATATCCAGTGTTGTCTGTTCCGACCTTGGCATTTAGATCTCCCATCAGAATGGTGAGGTCCTTTCTTGAGCATTTCTCTATGATTGACTGCAGCCACTCGTAGAATTGATCTTTAATGTCGTCGTTGCTATCATTGGTAGGTGCATAACATTGGATAATATTCATTAAGATCCCCTCCTTCTTTGTTTTGAATGATGCTTTGATGATTCTGGATCCGTGGGATTCCCATCCTACAAGTGCATTTCGTGCTACTTTGGACAGCATTAGAGCAACTCCCTGAGTGTGTGGAGCATTTTCCTCTTCGTGACCGGAGTATAGCAGCATCTCTCCCGTAGCTAGCCTTTTCTGTCCAGCTTGGGTCCAGTGGGTTTCGCTGATTCCCAGTACTGCTAAGTTGTATCTCCTCATTTCCGTTGCTATTTGGCTGGTCTTCCCGGTTTCCCACATTGTTCTAACGTTCCATGTACCTATAAAAATTTTTGCTCTGGTTGTTAGAAGGGGCATCGGCCTCGTGGCTTCCGAAGGAACTCGGCTTTCACCATGAAGCGTCATAATTCTTCTAAATGAAGACCTTCTAACTCTCAGGGCAGAGTTAAAATGGTTTGAATTATTTTTCCTGGTAAGCGTTTTTTTAGCGAGTTAGTTTTCTACGGGATGGGGACGCTAACCCCATGCCCAACCCTCCTCCTTTACCCGGGCTTGGGACCGGCAGTAACTCTAGAAGAGCTACAGGCGGAGTTCATCTGTAGTAATAGCTGAGGATAATCTGTTACACCTGAGCATTGATTATATGATGTTACCATCAAATCAAAATGTAATTTAAAAAGTCAGTAATTGTTCCTAGTGAACTGACGAGTGCTCTCAGCTAGCATTAAACAAGCTCGGAACATTTAATGGAACTACATTTACCCCAGAAAGATTTAGATCTAAACATTTGCAGTTAAGCATACACATCAGTGGTAATAAAAGTGAAGAGGGATGATATGTTTGTTTGGGTCTAGTGAAAAGAAATTTTCATCCGACTAAATATATATACCCCGCAAAGTGTTTGGAAACAATCATGTTGTTTCACCCAAGTTTACTACTTCTCAATAATACGTATCTACAATGCCTTACGAGATAAAACCTAGGACTTCATGGTCTCATAGCCGGGATAATACAATTGACACAAGTATCCATTAATTTGGATTTCCAACCTTAGTCAGTTTGTACGATGTGGTATCGTCATCGTCTTTTGTTATCTCTGAATTATTGCTTTATTCCAAATAATTATTTGAGCTGTAGATGTTTGATGAAGAAAGAATTGAAGAAGGATTGTTCTTGTTATAACTTGTCGTTTGAATGCTTATTGTCTTGACTCTTTTAATGCTACTTTTTGTATCTGGTCGTCGCTGATTGTTACGTCGGAAACGCTTATCACTTATACCCGGAACGAAGGACTTCTGCAATTCCCACGATGCGAAAGAACACAAAGACTGGTATAAGTGATGATTTATTAACCCCAAAACACGACGACGACAACTCTAGTAGAAAATACACTCATTTATATATTGGTTGTACACCCATTTTGAAATCACATATATGAAAAATACTTAGAGTTATAATAAATCACATATTGAGCATAGTTCATGTCAATGGAATACAAGAATATCTCGCATATTATACAGAATAAAATATCATACGGGGAAACAAAAACGAATACTACAATGAGTAATCATTACATTGAATTAGAACGGATATAATGTTGAATAAGACTCATAATGAGCAAATCAATCGAAAATTGACTTTTCTTCCCATCATATCAGTTCTCCAGACTTTTATGGTTACACCAACTAATAGAACAACCGTATATATATATATATTCCAAATGTCATTGACTGTAAATTCTATACTGTTTTGTTTTTCTTTCATGGTGTTATGAATGAAGTTATTATTGCTTTTCGTTGAATATAATTAACCTATCCACTAATGGACTTGATCAGGCATGCATAGAGCTCTTGAGATCATTTATTTTCAAGTATCCCACTTACACTTTTACTTAATATATCGCTTTTGACCCTAAAGGTTGAATTCCTTATTATGCTTATGACTTGCTTCATGGCTATCTGTTATATCGTTTGTAAACGACCTAAACAGTCTAATTATCTAGTCGTATATGAGCAAATTGGGAAGAGCTATCGTCTTAGTTGTGACATCGATAGGTTAGTTTAGTTCCGCACGTTTATTGATCATTGATATTGCCACTATTCAGACTCGTTTGCTATCCATCATTTTAATTCCATCTCGCTGTGCTGCTGTGATTCAGCAACTTGAACCGATGTACAATAATGTAAGTGTCGAATGTTGGTTGTGACTGACTGTTTAAACAAAAATTATATGGTAACATCTTGAAATTAATATTAAGAATACAAATGACTCAACTAATAAAAGGCTTTTACGAATGACCAATCACTGATAAATAATTATTCTCACATTGGGACTAATCAGAATTGATTTCATGGTTATTAGCCTACTGGTATTCTTCTAATCATGGTAAATTAACCATCATAGAGACTGAATAGTTAGTGAGCATTAACATGTGTATAGAAATTTTATCCTTACCGTTAGATAATACATAGGTTAACGATCACAATCAATCAAATGAATTTGAGAACAAATTAATAGCATAGATAAGGTGTATATTCATACAATCGTAGATATTATCAGGTTTTTTGAACATTTCTTCCTTTCAGAGGAGTTTAAGATAGATGGTCTAAGAGAAAGCAAGATGGAAATTCCAGGAAATAACAGAAGTAAACAAGAGATATACATAAACACACAAGGTAAACAACTAGTTACAACTAAAACAGAACAAAGAAGGTAAATGGGAACTGTAAAATACGGGAGAAAAAGCCAACGTAATGACAACAAAAAGGAAAAGAAAACTCAAGGCTTGACTACTAATCCTTTTTTACATGATTTCAAAAATAACAATTTGTTGATTATATTTTACACTTAAAAATAGCAAAAGTGTAATAGGACACCAACAGTCACTACTACTGCTACTACTACTACTATTATTATTATTGGTAATAATAATAATAGTCAAAGTGAGGATAACTGACAGAAAGAAGAGTATCGTGAAAAAAAGTCAAACTAAAAAAATAATGTAACATGAGATTAATGCAAATCTCTAGAGATGTCCCACATGTGCGTGCATATAGGTGTACACATCATAGCAGTTTAAAGAAGATAAACAAACAAAGAAAAGAACGTAAGTAACGAGAACAGAAAATATAACAAGTTGAGATATTTGTGTGATGCTACTAATTTGTTTTGCAAAAAAAAGAAAAAAAAGATCGATCATTGAAAGAACGAAAACAAACTGTCCATAAACAATAAAACATTATATATTGACATATACAACGAGAGAAGACATTATTTATTCCGAATAAAGAAAGATAACATTAATGTAAACAACATATGAATAAATGTATATTATTAAAATGTTAGCAGCCAGACGAAGTGTAAGTAGAAAAGATAAACACATAGACAAACAGTCACTGATAAATAACTCTTATTTTTCTCTACATATGGTGGGAAAGTGTATAAGTTATATGTAACAAAAACAATATCCGCCAAAAATATATGCATAAAAAGCTCAGTGTTTTTCTCGTACTCTAGATTGTAGGCAAGTTGATTGTACATTCTATTTAGACGGTGATTTGTATTCCTTATGTCTCTCCCTTCCCTTCCGTCTCTAAAGCCCGCCATCACCGCTACTCCCTTTGCTTTCGTTTTAATATGCATCACTGGCAAAATAGATAAACACTTAATATAATAGAAATACAAATGACGAAGAATAAGGAATATTTTCTAAAGCAATAAGAATTAAAGTATGTCATCAAGAGTCAAAATAATAATTTAAAAAGGGAATATTAAAAACAAAAATATTGAAAATGAAATTTCTACAACACACAGATAAACTTTAACAGCCAATTAATTGCTCAGTACACAGTTCAAACCTGTACACGAGTATTATATATATGTATGTTAAGACTGATACTTGTGCTAATAACAGAGATGATAATGCTGTACGATAGTGGTGTATATTAAAGACCAAGCAGATATGAGAAAACAAAATATCTTCATTTTTCTTCATTTTATTCGCAACTGAAATAACAATGATGTGAACAATGACGTTTAGCCAAATGTTCATGATTCGGAGAACTATGACGATGGTTGCATTTCACGCCATTAGTTGATGTTTGACTACTGGACCCGGCATTGGCTTCTATAGAGCCGTCAGCCGAACTAATTGAAGAAATGGACCCACCAGAAACTGAAGCAGCAGTATGAATGGTACGATTACGAAGTCGTAATTCTTGTTGAACAGCCATATGCATTTCACGAGAATCGAAATTTACAGCCTGACTATTTCTGAAAACAATGAACAAAAAACATAATAATTAAACAATGTAAATCATTCTGTTAGGATAATTTGAATTCTTAACAAAATGATATAAGCAAGATGTTTCAGTGCTAAACCATTAAACTTAACTAGAGATAATCGAAAAGCATTCCAATAAATGAATGAATTTTTAGTCAGATTAATTAACAAACAAAAGGTGATTTTTTAATCTCATATCCTCTCTAACACAATAAAATATTACAAGCAATACAATTCAATCGAATAATAATATCATACACATAGTTCCCTTTATCATTTTGAAAAGAGCAAGAACAAAGATTTTAGCAGAATAGCATGAATTCATTTTATTTCGTAGGTTCTCGTCAGCTGCTTACAACCTGTGATATTTAAAAATCATAATTACATAATGGGTCTTAGAACAAGGGAAAGAAAGACTCTGAACAGTGCAATCACCAAACATCTCCTTGATACAGGACATCAGGTAGATACCTTATAATCCTTTAGGGTGATTAGTAAGCAGCCAAACTCCAGTCTTCTGAAGTTTACTGAAGCCATTGCCATCAGGCGTCAAAAACCTGTCCTGTGTATTCAAAAGGAGACGGTGGTTAATCTTTCCTTGCCCTGGTGACAAATATTCCTTCACTGCACCTTATAAAAAAATTTTTTTCTTTTTTCTTCTGAATTTATTACATCATTGACTCTATTTTATTTTTTCAACTATCTTTCAAATTAATAATCTTTCAACTGAACTCTAATCACAATAGTCCTATCAATGTTTATTCATTATGTAATCGATTGTTTCTAACCCACTTTTGAACGGTTGTCACAATGAATGTTGTAGAATATACCTTCACATTAGGTATATATTTACAATATTCAGTAAGTAATTTAAGCCCATTATGTAATTATGATTTTTTTTAAATATCACAGGTTGTAAGCAGCTGACGAGAACCTACGAAATAAAAATGAATTTAGGTTATTCTGCTTAAATCTTTGTTCTTGCTCTTTTCGAATAATATTTTTTTTTAAAAAACACACAAACAATATGGGATAATCGAGTGGATAAAATAATCAAAATGGTTCATTGTAGTAACATATCAATCCACATTGTTTAACTGTAGAATATACAGTTCTGAAACAGAAAACAATATGGACAATTTAACCAGTGACATGTTAACATATTAAACAATGATGTAATTAATGTTATACTTTGTATTTTTAAAAAAAATTTATTAAAAAGAAATTCCTATTAGACATACATGGAATAAATGATTTGTAATTGACTAATCACTAAATAGTGACTGATGTTGTGTGTTGTCTAGTTGAATACTATTGATCAAATTGTAATGAAGTCATTATAAGCAAAGATGGATAGTGGCTAGCAGTGGAATCCAAGACGCGCGTTTCGTCCTGTTTGGGACGCGTCAGCTGGATGTACCTGCATCTCAGAGTTGATGTTCACTCTGGGACTAGAACTCAGTACCGTTCGCTTCAAACGCCATCGCGTTATCCACTTAGCTACTGAGTCCTGATAGCCACTTGCTTGTGCAATGGGGTGAAGTTTAATTCACTTGGTATGGTTTTACTTGAATCTTCCCATTGATGTTTGAGGACTGAAATTGATCAGTCTCTTATTAGTTTAAATAGCTTGACATAGTGCATGATAAAAGAGTTACAGGCTATGCTAATATATCACTCGTTATATAATAGTATTTTTTGCCTCGGATAAATGTTTAAATTTCAATGGTACTGTACTAGAGAATGATAATGTTTTATTTTCATTTAAATAACTGTTAAGTATCGATTTATTTGAAAGATCCATGCTGCTTTCAGTTACTTGTTGCATAGAACAAGACTAAAATGGTTCGATGAAATAAAGAAAATAACACTGTTAGATGTAAGATTTATTTATATATGGAACAGTGATTACACCATGTATTTACAAATGATTGAAATGTGTAATTATGTATTACTTTAAATGTTCGGTTAATATGACATGAATCCATTGAACTAGCAGTTAATCAATGTGTTATTTCAATATGTGTATACAATTCATAAAATTAATGGATAAAAATTCTTTAACTAAGAAATATAATTAAGTTACTAAGCTATATGTTTTCCAAATCTTTGCTTGAAATCACCTTTCTAAGGTGAGCTAAAACATTCAAAACCGCTATGAAGTTTCAATCTAATCTAAAATCAAGTTTTCATTTAGGCTTCACAACTAATAAACAATTAAATTACTGAATTGTTTCTTAATTATAAAACTTATTCACTGTTAATCTATTGATCAATTGGAAAGTTATTCACTTTTTTTTAATTTATTGTTTATTCTATTCATCACTGATTGATCGATTGATTGTTTCATATTGAATTGACTTTTGCTCACGGTTTACTATTGCATTTCACAATGTTTATTCTTACATCATATCAGACAGAAACTTGTATTTATTCTATTCATTAGAGTTTTATATTAAAAAGAAAAAAAGGACCCAGTATTCTTTCTAGTCAAATAACATTGAAGTGAAAAATATTTTAGAGAATTAATTCACTCTGATTCTTTTCATAGTTAGTTTATCAGGATTTTTAAAAAAAAAATTATTTTCCTCATCTTTTTTTCTCTTTTTTTGATGAACAAAAGATAGAGAAATTCAAAAGAAAAAAATAATATTTACTAAATGAACGGAATAGAAAAAAAATTGAATGGCTTTTCTTTTATTTTACAATGAAAACTTATTATCAGAAGAAGTTTTGTGGAGAATCTCGCGGGGGGCGGGATCGTGGATGAGCACTGCTGAGGAGTCACACACTAGGACGAAACCGCTATCCAGTGCTTCCAGGTTTTCCATGGTGGTCTAGCTTCAATTGACTCATGATCTCAACTATTGAAAAATTTATTTTTAATTATGTTATATACCATAAATCCCACATAATAATAATAATAATAATAATAATAATAATAAGGCACTAATTAATGGCTACCTTCAAGAGATTTAGAAGTTCTAATACAAAGTCGAAAACCAGTAAAATTCGACCATGTTGATGATGATGAGAAAACATTACAAACCAACTGATGTTAGAAATGTAAACTAGTTGATTTTGAATTGCTCATCTAAAAGATAGGAGCAAGTGGCAAGGCATGAAAGTCATGGGTACGATAATTGGAGGGGTTGTGAGTGAGCCCAATTCTAAAACAGAATATGTACTTAGTCCTTTTCAGTGGTTCATCAAATGATTATGGTAAAATGTGATGAATCACTACAAACCGGTAAGACTCTAATTTATGGACGAGCCAGTCAGAAGCGTTTGAGGATTTTCAAGGTCATGGCGCTAAGTTCAATAAGAGACGCTCGCATTCGATCGTTTTACAGCAGATTTTAGAGAAGAGGTGATTTTTGAGCGACTACAACAGATGGGACTATTAAGAAGTTCCTGTATCTGTGACTGCGGCAATCAAATGACTGCAGCACGATGTGCAGACTACCGTGATGACATTAGATTTCGTTGTACTATATGTTAGGAGATAAAATCTGTTCGAACTGGCACTTTCTTCGCTCGATCACGACTCAGACTAAGGCAAATCGTGATAATTGTTGCAAATTGGATTATGAAGTCACCAGTAACATTGGCTGCGGCTTTTGTAGATGTGCACCCTAACCCTAACCATAACCCCAACCCGAACCCAAACCCTAACCTTAACCCTAAGTCCATGCACTATGATTTCAGGACATCAGAACCTTTATCTAACCTTAACAAGTTTTTAAACCATGTAAAAGAAGAATATCCGCTGTAATTCATAAGTTTTTTATAATATGTTTGCACTTTATACTAACTCTCTTCTGATTGGCTACTAGTTTCAAGGTCACTTAAAAGTTCCTTCAAAGGTCGTCCATAAAATATAGTCCTACCTACAAACCTATTCTGCTAAGAATCATAAGCAACTTATCAATCAAGTTTGAGTCCATGTATATTTGTTTCTATGTTATGGTTAGAAAAAACCTTTTGTATCTTACGTTTAATCATGAACGAAATATACTTTATTGTAACAGAGTAATTATTCAAGTTCAAACTTTTGGAACTGTCGATATACATTTCGTTATTCCTAAATTAGTATTCCTACCTCGTTTCATACATTTGGTTCTCTTTACGAATTTGAGTAAAATCAAAATAATAATTGAGACAGGATAATATGAATTCATTATATTTCGTGGTTTCTCATCAGCCATTTGCAACCATTAATATGTATTAATACGTAACACTGAAGTATGATATAATGTGACATAATTGGCACTGATGATGGAAAGATTTAAAAATAATAAGGTTTATCAATAATGATTATATATATATCCTTCAACATTATTACCAAGCAAAAATCACAATATGTATCCGGTTTGCCGAAGCAGAAGCAATACAGACACTCCAACATAATTTATGTGTCTAGAAAAAGACAGTAATCAACTTATCACTAACTTGATAAATTATTATTTATGTTAGTCATTATTATTTTATTTGTGCTTATTTTGTTATGTAATCTTTGACAAACTAATTCTTATTTTATGTACACTGAAATCATCCTTTCATGCATCGGTTTTCATTCACTCAATTCTTCAAACTTATGCAAACTCTTCAAATCCTTTTCAACTACTATGTAACCCGTCTTGTCATTTTCTAATTCTAGACAATTTTCAACTCATAACTGTCATTTATATCTATTTTCAAGTGATTCGAATCTTATTTTAATTCTCAATAACTTCTATAATTATCACATAATCTGTCTTATTTGTTTTCGGATATCATTTAATTACTGAATTCATATTATTGTTGTTTTGATCTTTCTTTTCTATCACTCTTCACTTGCCTATGCACAAACTATTAGTTATACCTAAAGTTGTTGATCTATGTTTATAAGAGAAAAGTATATTCGGATTAGTGTAATCTAACCAAGTGACTCAATTAAGGAACACATAAAGTAGATTCAAGGTTATAAACATTACTTACAACAAAATTTTATTTCCTAGATTCATAATCATGATAATAATCGCTTTATCCCATGTCATATATTTTGCTTGTAGTAAAGAAATCTCACGTTGGTTGCAGGCAATAAGCACTTAATTCCAGACATTTTCTGCAGATTTATTTAAAAAAAACCCGATTAACCTCCTGTAGAAGTGAGATGTCGTTTTGTTGTGCGATCGCTCTAGTCTGACGTCGATACAGAAGCTTCATATGAGTTTATCCAAAACAGGCACTTGATTAGGAGAAACAACAGATTTTATTGACTAACTGAATCAAGAATATAAGTACAACCGATGGATAAAGATATATCTTTCTCCTTCAAAAAATAAAGCCATACCAATGGAATATGCCCTAGAAAGTGAAGCTAAATCCTGGACAATAGGGTGGGTCAGTAAGTAACTCCAACTTATCACTTGGTTTATGTCTGATTTGCATGGTGTAGTAGAAATTTACACTAGTCAATCACTGAATGATAACCAAATTAAGTGATTCAAACAAATAATACCATATCAAGGCACTAAGATTTGTGGACATATTCGATAAAATTAGGTCAAAACTGTGGACTAGACAAATACAACAATAATTACTACTAGTTCAATGTGTTAATAATTTCCAGGAAAAAAGCCGTGCCGAAACAAACCCTGGTATATAGAAATTTTCACCAAATATATACCTAATGTATTAATTCTAGTATGATTTATCAACTACTACAAGAGTTCAGAACGAAGTTCGCTTTGTGACGGCCTGTAACCTTTCTACGAAAGCGTATGAGTACATCTTATGACCAACATATGTAACTAGTTAGTTAAAATACAACGATTGTAAGAAGAAATAATCGTAATGTTTGCACAGTTGGTAAATGGGATGCCAAGAGGTTTGAACAGGCTCTCACTCAGTCAATGTATCTCAAACACATAAAAAAAGTATGCATATAAACTTATGAGTGCTTGAGATAAAAAGACCGGGTACTTGAAATACAGATAATAAAAGCCTTCGTGCCGTGTTCTCTTATTTAGACTTAAGACTGGGGGACAGAGGAATGAGTTTTTCGGCGGATCAATAGGCGTCAAGAATATTTGGGTCATACCTTAAAGTTAATCTTGGCAGTTGACGCGCATAACTAGTCGAAGCTTAGGACCCTAATCGATAGACGAAATAGCAGTTGATGTTACCCTGTGAATTCCATAAGGCAAATAATTGAAAACAATGATTTATGGATTAGAAAATGAACTAAAAAAGCTCATAAATGTCTGAGTTATGTACGATTCATACTACAAAGAATACGAGAAGTGATTTTGCAGTTAAAGTACAAGACTGAAATATTTACTTGCAGAGTTTACGACCATCCTATCTAATTAGCTTTCGGTAAATGAACAATAGATCTGTACAGTTTCATCTACAGTATATGCTTCTGAGGTGAATATACAATTCTTTAAATAATAACGGGGTTAGACTGAATTATGAAAAAAATGAAGTGGGGAAAACAAAGTGTATCCAACATTTCTACACTAATCTAATAACTCAATATCTTTAATACAGACTTCTCAACGTAAAAACGTTAAAAATAATCAATTCAATGTGCATTCAGTGCACATGATAGCAATACTATTGTAACATCCATCTAAGCACACCGTAGATGGAATATTCTGACGTTACATCTCTAAAAAATATTTGTGACCACAAGATGATGGTGAAAAAAGTTTGAGTTATTAAACTGCATCTTTAAATTATTATTATTATCGTGCAAAATTACCTTTCCATGATTTCACGTAATAAAGAATCCACTTCGGGGTTATGGGTCATTCTTACTGGAGGTAGGACAACTCTACGGTTATAACGTCGGGTAGGAATAGTTGTTGTTGTTGTTAATGATGTTGTGGCTACATTGGTATTTGCAATCGAATTATTTTGTCCCGATGCAGCATAAGATGTTTGTTGAGTATCATTAGAGTTCTGAAAATTTCCAGCATTACCATTTATAAATATAGATGCACCCTTTTCATCTTCGTTACTATTATTGTTACCGCATGTGCCATTACTATTTATATTGATTTGGCCAGTTTGTGGTAATTGAGGATATCTAAATTCATTAGCACGTCGAGATTGGTGATGACAGTAGGATCGTTGAGTGGAACAATTGTAATCTATTGAAAAATTACTTATTTCAACAGTTTTATTATCATGACATGTACAGTTTGAATAATTGTGTTGTTTTTTATTGTGGTGTGTATTAGCTAAACATATGTGGATTTGTATGCACATTCAAGCATGTGTTATGGATATAAAAGACAAGAAAAAACAAATGAAAGGTTGCAGAAAACCGAATGAAATGAATAGTTAGATAAATTGATAAAGTTTGGTTACTTGAATCCATTTTGAGTTGATCGAGTGAAACATTTTGAAGTATTACCGTAAAAGCTAAAACTAATAAGAAATGAAGAGGAGATACCACTCTTAATGCTACTTAGTAAGTCTTCTACTTGAACACGAACACACAGACTTCCTACCCTCTTCCTAATCTCCAGAAGCTTTTCACTCTTGAACAGAAAGAAGGTGGAAACATTAATCATAAAACCGTAACTTAACCAATCAGTATAAGGGAAACATTGATAAATCCTAAAACACAGGAAGCAAGACTATGTAACAAATAAAAAGTATATATATATATATATATATATATATATATATATATATATATATATATAAGACTTTATTTATTATATAAAAATTCAACGTTGATATAGATACAAATGACCTTATTCGCATTAAGGAGTGTGATTGACCAAGAAATTAATTATGTCAGAAATAAGCCTGTAAAATGGTTATTATTGTAACATTTAGCTATTTCGGGTTTAATATTACAACTAGGTACATAGGATTCATTAGTATCCCTCTAATATATCTAACCAATAAATCCAGACGTGAAGTACACTATATGTTACTAATATGTTGGATAAGTTACTTTAAGATCAACTAGATGGCGTACAGTTAATAGTAATGATTTTGCCAACTTCAATTCTTTATATTTCAAATATTAATCATATTTGCGTTGTCATTTGGAAATTAAATTCAAAAATTAAGATAGTGATTTTGTTTTACTGCATATTTACAAAATATTTGCTATTCACATTACGTAAAAAAAGTAACAATTACCGTGCAATTCCCAACCACAATAACTGATTGATATTATTGTATACATAGAGAAATTATCTTATCATAATTATATACTGTTCAACTAGGTGTATATACTTGGGAACAATTTCTAATTTCGATGAATTTGAAAAGTTACACAACAACTACTCGTTTGACTGTACACTATTGTGTTTAAGAATAAAATACTGCATTTATTATCGATACCGTTTTTAAAGCGAAATAAAATAATTCTTCTTCCATATTAAGAATTATTGTCTGCAAAATCAGCCAAGCATAAATATTATTTGCTTCTTCCTCTGAAATTATTATTATTAATGTAGAAAAAGAAAACACAACTATAAACGCTTATTTATTCACCGAACCTTGACGTTTAGAGTGATTAATATATACCTTATTCATTGTTTTATATCACGACAATTTATTTATATAATTGCACGCATATTATAAGGTCAAATTATATATTAAAATAACTTATTGGAATACTAAAATAAATATCAGTTTACTACTTGTGGATTAAACATTCTATTAGCTTTCATGTTCAATAATCCCTTATTATTAGTTATACTCAATTTACTTTTAATAATAAGTATGGTCTTTCTGTTGTCATGATAACTAACAAATTCATTTCCATTTCTATGTGATCGAGCAAAAAATTAAATAAATTTTTTTATTTCAATAACTATTCACAGACACAAGTATAACAGAGCAGTTGAATAGAATTGATGTCTATTTTTTTCAGAAGTTAAAATTTTATAATAAATGATGATCGAACCATCTGACGGAATTTTTTCATCAAAGTAAAATTCAATAAAACCACTTTATGCTACTTTGGAGAGGGGATCAGGAATTACAATCACCGTACAATAATCATCAACACACATTAATAAAAGTGCATTAATAATAAAGAAGAGTGTTGAAAGGGGGAATAACGTTATTAATAGTGTGAAATAAATTTGAATCGCCAATTGTTCCTCTTCCCACGCGGGATCATGGATCGCACTGTTGAGGAGTCTTACAGTAGGAAAAAACGGCCGTCTAGTGCTTCCAGGTTTTCAATGATGGTCTAACATCAATCGATTCATGATCTCAATCAAGAATCAAAAATGTAGTTTTCTAAACGTCTAATGAAGTCTACTTCTGACAAATACTGTAATTCTTCGAATTTAGCAACAAATTGTTATACGTATTACCCTAACCATATTATCTCATATGTCTATTTCGAACATTCAGTCAGCTACAAAGTTGGCAAAGGTCAAACGAGCTCTTGAATCTGTGTAGAGATTTCGTCAAACACAAACCCACTAGGACTGATCACACTCTCAAGATGAGTGAAGTTCTCCACGCGCTCGACTACTTCTCCCGCCTATCCGTAGTTCAAGTATTGACGCAGGCCAGTCCTGAAGCAACAATTCGCATTTAGAGGGGGACAAACACATCCAAAACATCTTGGCATTGTCGCTCATACATAAATACATATATCGAAGCATAACTTACTTTTCATTCCGGGATAATTAACACTACTCGTAAGTGACAGGTCTGAAGAATTCGACCCGAACCCGCTTGTGCTTCCACTGCAGCAACTTAGGCTACCTCCTCCACAGGCGCAACAACTAGAACAACTTGAAGCCGATGTTGCAGTTTCGGAACAACATTTTTGTTGGTTAATATCATAACTATTATTAGGATCACTTTCACTGGAATCTGATGATGTAGTCATTTTTATGTTTTCTGAATGAAGCACTAAGTTACTACTACTATGACGATGATGACTATTACACGATGGTAATGAAGTAGATAGGACACCGGTAGTATTTCGAGCAAAAGCGGCAGCAGCACCTATGAAATGATGAAACATAAACATACACGAGTAGACAAAGAAAATAAACAGTATTGATGTAATTAATAAAAATAATATATTTTTAATATTCCAATGTATAGAAAAATGAGATTTCCTGATGTTTCGTGATTCACTGTAGACCACTTCTTCAGAGAAAAAATAAACAAATTACATTGGCCTAAGTTTAAATAGCACAAAGGAACAATGCAAAAAATATTTAGTGCGAACAGTCAAAAAACTGGTCTGACCGAGTCAATGTGATTTGTGTGCGATACATTTGTGTGTTTTGATGGATGAAAATTGACATTTTTAATGTGAAAGGATCGAGTTGAATATGTACACATGATAATAGTGTGAGATATGAGTAGAACCAGACATAGTATCTCAGATAGATAGACTAACTCAGATGGATAATAAGGCTTTCTTTTATATAGAGGGTAGTGGGATTCAGCGATATATGGAAAACTACAACTTCACGCCCTTCCTTGTAGACGCAATTCTGTGCTGACATAAAGGGGTTAATATCCTTTATATGAACTAAGGCATTTTGAAGAGTGCTGGTTGTTTTAAGACTTTTTAGATTTGTTTGATGTATCAATGCAGTATGGTAAAACTGCAGTACTAATTCATGCTATTTCATTCGAGCTATTATCTAAAAGTTTTATCGGATTTTTTTGTAAATTTCATAAGAAAATTATTAAGTTGTAAGATCTCAATTAAATATTTTTGTTATTTTTGTTTATCCTCTCCAGGTGTAATAATCTTGCTTGCTCATTTAGAAAGATTTCTGTACTGAATGGATATGCCGAATTGAATTTGATATAGAGATCCGAGTGTACTGGTTTTCCGTAGTGCTATAGATGTTGGATCATCAAGAAACACTTGGTAAACGTCTCATTTTTGAAAATTCGAATTTCTCATTTTCGCTCCAGAAGCGACCACTTTTACCTTCAGTTTGTATTTCCCACCTAGGAGGATCCTAAATGTCATTGGTTCATTATCTCTTTCAGTACACTTTTCGTGACGTTTCCCAAGGACATTTTTGTACTGCATATATATTCATGAGTTGTGTGCTTGTCCGTTCATGGTTTCGGACTGCTTGTAGAATATACTTTTTCACTGACTGAATCTGGTTTTCTCCCTCTAGTTAGCAAGGGTGAGGCGCAGTGGAAGAGTTTAGTTTGTCCTGTTGTTGTGTTGCTGGCCTATCAAAGAAACCACTAAAAAAAAGCAATGCTTGTCATAACCATGAGCGTATTGGTGAGTTTTTCTACAAAGAGACGATGAACTGTGGAGTGAGACAGTAACTAATCAATTATATTTGAAGACTGAGTTATGTAGTTAAGTGAATGAAGTTGAAAATGAAGGCCATTAGGTAGTAATCTAATAATATCGTTATCATGAGATAGATTAAGTGTGTGACCATTAATGCGAATTGTTAAAGAATCTCAAACTCAAATGAATGGGCTTCCTAAGTTCATCAAAACTTTAGTCTAATGTATATTATTGATCCTGCTAACATAAACATGAGAAACACATAACTTCTTATTAATATAATTATTTAACAAATGCTACACTGATAAGATTAATTTTCATAGAAGCTAAAAGACTAATTGTTGCTGTGAAAATTATCTATTACAATTTAACGGAAAATATTACTATTAAACATAATTAGTCTACTAGGATAGAAGTTCCCTGATATACTTAGTAGTATAATTAGAAAATATGGACAGCGAATAAGTGATATAGAAAATGAAGATTTTTTGACCATCCTTTTATCATAAAAAGTAGATGGGTTAATTAAAGTCAAAATAAAATGTGGGACCAATATGTACCAGGTCAAGCTGTTACACCACAAAAGCAGAGATCAGTTGAACAGGCATTTCAGTTGACTCAACTCAGGTCAGTCTCATATTCTATGTATGATGAGCATTTGTAGACAATCAGTACCTATCTATCTTTTAATCTTACCTGATAGTGTTGTTAGAATGCTGCCTTTTTAAAGACTATCAGTTAGTGTACTTAATAGTCCATATAACAATAAAATAAATGCACAAACCTGTAGCTAATAGTTTGATTGATTCAAGTATAATATAAAGTTATTTTAATCAACTCTTGATTCGACAAAGAAAATAACAACCTATACTATCAAACAACCATCCTTTAAAAAAAATCTACATGTCAGTTGAGTATTCAATGAGCTAAAGAACGTAAACAGTACAAATGTTTCGTTTGTCAAACAAAAAACCTTCTATATTACAATTAAAATATATAAATTAAATTTATTTTCAAAAAAAGATCTAAACACGGCTAATAAATCGTTTTGTATATACGTATGCAATAAAGAATATACCGATGTGTTACATTGATCATGAATAGAAACAAATGAGTTGTAAAAAGTTGGTTAAATGAAATAAAGTGAAATAGTGATTGACCATATATATTGTTTGTTTGTTTTTTCCAAGTAATATGGTTACGTATCTATCAACCGACAGATATTTATTGACTAACAGTTCTCTCGTCTTTCTTCATCAATGATTTTCACTAAAAGTAAATATTCATTAATAATAATAATAATATAACTAATTACATAACAGTTATTACTTATTTTCAAGCTAAACTAATCCACTTCAGTTCAAATATAGAAAGCTTGCAAAAGGATGATTATATTGTCAATCTTTACTAAGTTATCAGTAATATATTTCAGTAAAGTGCAAATGAGTTTATAATGACACAACTATCAACAATGAAAGGCTTGGTACACATCTACATCACCTCGAATTGCCGTACTCTAAGGTCAAAAATCTAAGAAATCAAAACAATACTGAACTAATAGAAGAAAGCTAAACATGGGGAATATGATTACCAACTGATGAACAGAATCGATGAATAAACTGTATGAAGCATTATTAACAATTAAGATTTTAAAGAGAATGAAGCATGAAAAAATTTACATTGTTATTATAGTGAACGAAGAGTTGGTGGGGATGATCTATTTATTGTTTAATGGCGAATCACAGTGGCTTAATAAAATATGAAAGTTATACACTAAATATATCATTTGCACATCTTCTTCGAATTGTATTTTACAGACTTCAGTGTTCTTTCATTTGTGTTTTTATTTTGATTGGCTTCAGTTTTCTCTCATCTTCTCTTTATTTTCCTCTAATGTCAGTAAGAATTCTAATTCACATGCCTGATACATACTACTTATACCTGTCTGTGTAAGTAGCACATAGCATACTATGACCTATTTAAACCATTTGAATTGAAACAAATTCGGACTAGCTTCTTGACTTCAACCGAGAAGATTACTTCTTCCAAAGCAGCTCACTTCAACAGTCTATTATCTCGTTGACTGATATCATATCCAAATGCAAACGAACTCGATCTCCATCCAACTCCTACATTTAATAGCTCAACGCGTCAAAGAGACTAGCAGATAAAACTTGACTAACTGAATGGTATAGATATCTCAAGAATTATCAAGTTCCTTATCAATTATTGAAATAATCGATATTATTATATTGAAAAGATGTAAGAAATAGAAAAACAATATTATTAATCTTAATTAAAAAAAATATTGTCAGAATACACAATTGAAATTATGGCCTCATTAAATTATTCATTAATAAAAATGGTTAACCCAATAAAAATTAGATCAGATTACAAATATTACCATGGGAAATAAAACAGTACAACTATTATTTTTACCTCTAAAAATGTATAAAACAACATTATTTTATTACTTAGTCAAAATTTAAAAAGAAAAAAGAAACATGTATAAAATGTTTACTGAAAAAAAAACATGTTTGACATACATTAAATCAATATTACATAACATGATTAACTCTTTTAATATACTAGCATAATCATCCTAAAAGGAATCTTGTCTATGGTTAGGTCTTATCAACAGTGTTGTCCGTTTACATCGTCAAAATAGATTGAACCTTAAACCTTGAAATTTTGAAACGAGGCTTTAAACCAATGAATTGTATCTAATGATTCAAATTTCTTAATTCAATCAATTTATGATATAGCGCTACATTTCTGGTTGCTATCAGTGGGTAACAGTTTTACACACTATATAAGTGAGATTCATTAGTCAGGATTTCTAATTAGGATTTCAGGGAAGTGTGGTGTATCAATATGTTTTCGCCCTGATTTGACGAATCATTGGTTTAGCACAGAGATGGGGTAATAGAAGTCAGTATTCTGATTAAGTTGTATCAAATACGAGTGAGAGAAGCGGTGACCACCAGCACTTCATTAAGAGAGCTCACGCCTGTGTATGCTACGATGCTCATCAGCGCAAGCTTATATACCTCTGGTGTGCTTATAACGTATAAGACGTAGCAAATACGAGTTAACAGAATGGTGAAGTCAATCCTCCCAAACGGACAACTTTGCCTATCTGTATGCCATGGGATACATAGGTGAAAACCTATGTATTATTAGTATGCATGTAATATATACTAGCTTCAGACGACGCCTGGGCATCAAGACCCAGGGGGTTTCTAACTACTTCCCCACAAAAAGTCCACGTAGTAGGCTTGTGTACCTCAAAAATGACAGTTTTCTTGCCAACAAAGACAGTAGGCTTCCCTCAATGAGGCTTGACCATCCTCATGGCTGGAGCACCACTACACTATATTCCAGTGAATACAAAATTTATACTGAATCTGAACTGATTAGTAGTAATATGCCATACCTTTTCAGTCCTTTGTGTTGGTCGAAATCAATCAATCAAACTAAGACATGATTACTGGTGTAAGTGACTAAAAATTAAATTCACTATACTTTGAAGTTAAGTGATTGCAAACAATCGGACCTAGGTTCCATGATAGTCGGCATTTAGCAGCAAGGCTGGCCTGTAATCTTGAGGAAACTTACACTACTCGTTGGGTTCCAATTTTCTTCGACGCATTAGCTATTTTGAGTATGATATCAGTCACTATTCTGGGAGTAATCAGTGTAAATATTTAACTTTTATTGCATGACGCCTGTTTGAATCCCCTCAAAATTGCAGATAAGCTTTTACGACAAGTGCCAATACAGACACGAAACCTAAATACAGAATTTCAACTTATTTGATAAATGGTTTAATATCCATTGATCAAAATTTTCAAAAAGTAGTTCAGCTTGATAGTCTTTTCTTATTGCTTCTTCAAATGATGTCAATTCATGGTGAAAAATCTTTTAAACAGAAGAAATTATTCTAACTCATTAAAACAATATAAAATCTTTACACTTCTCCGCAAGTAATGTAGCTTTAAAAGAAGATGTGATGAGAATCGATTGTTGACAGCTATAATCCTAGTAATATAATAACAAAAATTTATTTAAGCATACGTAAAGAAGTTGTTTTAATTCTTAACTAGTTTTAAAAATTGTTCAGTTGAAACATTTACTTCTTACTTGTATCAACAGTGGAGCAGTAGGATCGTTTACACTAGTACATAGCTACTGACTCAGATTTTTATCTTCTTATTGTTCATAAAATTGAGTTACTCCAATAAAGTAATATGACTTTATCTAAAATTGACGATTTCCAACCCAAGCATAGAAAGAATTAGGTATTTTAAAGATCACTCATAAACAATGTAAAATCTGGCATAGAATTACATCAACTGAGATCACCATATTTCAAGATCGGTGTATTAAGACAAGAGTTACAATATACAAAAGTGGAATATATATCATTCGAAAAAAAGAACGAAACTGACGATAAAAATAAATACACCTTCAGCGGAATACTTTTAGATTGTTACTGAAGATCACCTCTCATCACAGATGACGATTATATAACATTTGTATCAAGAAAACGTTTTAAATGCTTAATGCAGTAAAAACGCATTACGTACAAAAAATAAAAATAAACTTACTGGCTGCTTCTAATTGCCTAGCAGCAGCTGCACGAGTTCGTGTAGCACCTTGTGGATGAGATAATGTCGATAAATATTCCTTCTGATCCAAAATTGTACAAGAACAGCATATGTGTTCTAAAGTGTCATTTTTATTATTATTATTATTATGATTTAATGATCGATTATAACAGTGGGAATTACTATTACGATTATTGTTGCTATTGTTATGCGAAGAACACCTTAATCCATTTGATAATGCCTGAGAGTGTTGTGCACTTGATCGTGTCGTACCTCCCATATAAGATTGCTGGGAAAACATATTCGACTGAACATGAATACAACTAGGTGATGTATGCGAATAATGCTCCGGTTTCGGATTTGTTTGTGTGTAATGAAGATTGCCACGTGAGCCGGAACTGCTATTCAAACAATGATGACCGTTTCCACAAGACGAACGTGTAGTAGGAGTATGGGTAGTGGTAGTAATCGAAGCAGATTTTACAGATTTCTGTTCTTTACTTACAGATGAAGCGATAGCAGCAGCCGCTTGTTGTTTGGCTTCCCGACGACGAGCTCGTTTAGTAATCTCTTTCATATGTTTCGGTCCAGGACCTTTCTTACTGTCAAGAACCTGAAAAAGTAATAAAATTACGTCATGGTACTTACTAATTACAACAGAAAGGACTGTTAAAGAACATTTTTATCTAATAAAAAACAGTATAAGTGTGAATAAATACCAACTAAAACCTATCGATAAGCATCCATTATTGCTACTATCGAGTAAACAAAAAATAATTCTCTTCCCGAATCTTTTATGACAACTATATTCGAACTGACATCCCAACGAGAACAAGAATACTGAAATGTAAGTGGATTCAGCTGATAATGCATTAATAATAAGAAATTATAATCTAAACTACATGGTTACTTATTTAAAGTATCATTATTGTCAATATATGATATATTTTTATACAATGAATATGAGTTCTAGTCCTGCAAGTCAAAATAAAATACAAAAGTGAATCAAATGATAATTTATTGTCTGTTCCAATGGTCTTACAGGTGATTACATTGTGATTAAAATTAAACTAACCAGGGATTTCCAAAGAAAACTAGTAATGCAAATGTATATTTCATTTTGTAATGTATAAATAATTTTGTTACCTTTAATTCAAGATTTTTTAAAAAGCAAGTAAACACTTAACCATATTAGAAATATAATAAAAATTATCCATATAGAAATGTATAGAAAGAAGAGTAAAGCATTATATGCATACACAGATACATTTACATGAAATATTTTAACTCATGAACAGCTAGTACTCTATCACCTACGGAGAGACAGGTTTAAAAGATCTTTTTATTAATACACGATCAGATTTTTATGCTAATTTATTATTAAACCTATATCGACCTGAGTTTGTATGCTTTCTTTTTATTTATAAGCATAAGCAATAACAATAGAAGTCACTCGGTTTTATATTAATTCAGTGCCGAACTACTGTGAAAGTATACGTCTAAATATAGACAAAAATCCCCATAAATTTCTAATAATAATAATAATAATAATAATAATAATAATAATAATAATAATATAAATACCATATCCAGTTCATATAGGAGTGCCTATCTGAACTCAAACAGTGTTGAAGGGAAGGTATTGTGTTCGAACCTCATTGTGAGCATCAATACTTAGATGCAGGTACATTTAGTTGGCGTGTCCCAGATAAGATAATATGCTTGTCCTAATTTCTATTGCCAGCTACAATTTATCTATCCTTATCCTCATAAAATAAGCTGAAAGGGTTGGTGATGTGATGTAACATTCTCAACCATAATACGATACTGCACAAACGGATATGCAGGAAACTGAACATTCGCGAGATTTATCTCAGGAACCACTGAAAAATTTATTGAAGTTTAAAGTCTGATTGAGAAATAAACTGTAAAAACTATGGACAAAAGAATTATTACTAACAGAGAGTAATTACAAAAGAGATTGACTGAAATATCATATTAAAACAAAAAAAGCCAAAAATATAATGCTACAGGAAGAATAGACTTAACAATTATAGGAGAAATCGTTATTATCAACATTATTATATATGATTTTATTGAAATAAGTAAAGGAGATGTGAACTAAACACAATTAACCCTAAAAATAGGTGACAATAAGTGAGTTAAATTTACATCTAACAATACAACAAATGAAGAACATACTACTTCTAAAATTGGAAGAAATAGATGACATATGCGAGTAACATTCTACAGAAAAATAAGCAATATACTAACCTGTACAAAGAAGTTCGGTTGTCTACCCCGTTGAAGCCAACGTTTAACACAAAGAACGCATGCATTGCATAAATCTCCTGAACGTGTAGTCCCCTGTGGACCAAAACATGCACCAAAATGCTCAGCATATCGTTGACTAGAGGTAAAACGAGAGGATGATGACTTTGTTCCACATATACAACAGCCTAACTGGCTACGAAAGTGTGCACGACCAGAACCTCCACCACTACTGCCACCACCTCCAATCCCACTACCGCTCATTTTATAAAAGTTAATATCAAAGCCTGAAATAAAGAAGCAATGTTGGTAGTTGTGAATGATACAAACGATAGAGGTGAATTAATTAATAATACGTAAAAATCATCCTAGCTGTGTACGTGAGGATTTTCTTTGATAACATTGGGGATGGTATTGAGCAGAAAAGAATAAGACAACTACAATGATTAGGTGAATAGATTGGATATTTAACTACAATAATATCAGTTTATTCATGCATGCTTACATAAAGCTGGAATTTTCGCTTACGAAATAACACAATTTTCACATGCTCGGATGGTGTCAACATAATTATTTATTAACTAGTCATTCACATATACGTATAAACAATACGAAGAAAAATCTAACCGCTAATAAGAAGACATATAAAAGGATGCTGACTAATGACTGTAAAGCAATGTGAATTAAAATTACATAAAACAATGACTATATCAATGATAGAAATTAGTGGTAGGTGGTATTCATCAACGAATTGAATACAATCGAAATACGACTGAAAACCAAAAGGCATACTATTAAGTAATACGATGTTACGACTTACTGCAGTTCCTTAGATATCAATGAACGGAAATCCCCCAATTACCATAATACAGCCGAAAGTGGGGGGAGTCCGCTCCCCTTCTCGAAATGATCTCATATGGCCACGTATATATAGCCACCGACAGGGAAATAACGGGGTTTTATTTCCTAAATTAAGAGGATGAAACGCGAATTTCCAGAGCTTGAACCGGGCTGGTGAATACAAAGGGAGTTGGAAAACATTGATTCCAAACCAATGGCCCACATGGACTCCAGGATTCTGAGGCAACAGATGCCTTATGGACATATTCTTGGCCATCAGCTTCCATGGGACCGCACCTCCTAACGTTGCTCCACTGCCTTCTGGACTAGACCTCTAGATCAAAGGTTTGTGGAGTAGCCCTCTAAGAGCACAATCTGCTGGGCACCCATGCAGTGTCCTAGCCCTCACACAAATCAAAAGACAACTACAACCGGAGTTTATTTTCGCTTCATTCTCATCCCCACAAATTCCATAAACAATTATTCGGTGACATTCATCTGGATTTTACATTGCGTCACCTATTCTTTTCTATTTACATTTTGTATAAGTTATTGTTCTTCAACTTATACAGAGGCTTATCTATGGTGGAAATTCCATCCTACCTAAACGATCTCAAGTCACCGAATGGTCAAAAGTTTAATGACACCACCGAATACGAATCCTGAACTAGCCTTTCTGAAATCATGAGTGCCATTCAAACTGACCTGCCCCAACGTTTGCACAATATTGCAGAAATTATGCAAAGCTTGCGTAAGGATCAAGAAACCTGGTGGTAGTGTAGTATTGTTTTCCCCACCTGGGTTTTCGTTCATTACAGTAGGAGCGTGCTAACGAGTTGGAAGCAGCAGCCACATTTAGTAACTGGTGGCTGCTCTTTCAACTCATTCAGGTCACTGCCCACAAGAAATCTACTTTGAGTAAAACAGTCTGTGAAACTGATGAGACACCGATCAATAACAAGCAACGACATCCTAAAAAATGGGCCGAGTTCCTCGATGAAAAACTCACCTGATCTCCTGCACTAACAAAATCAGTCGAACCGTTCTATCCTTTCTGGCCAGTGTTAACTGATACACCTGGCGAGACCAAAGTCCGTGGGGAACTCCAACTCCTGAGATTCCAAAAAACATCAGACCAAATGATTCCCCTCCAATTCTTTCTAAGAAAGATGGAGACCTCCTGGTTATGGAACTGATCAAGTCGTCCACAAATGTTTGGTAAATAGACTGTTCAAATATCGTGGAACGAGGAAAGAGTCGTTCATATCTTTAAAGAGGACAAACGTCACCTATACAACAACTGTCGGGAAACAATTTTAAATCCGATTCCATCCTATTTATTAGCTACCCTTATAGTTCACAGATCGTCCAAGACCCATGAAACATTGACTTGCAAGGAGTAGTCTGGAGTTCATTCTGGTCGTGGATTCATTGGTTATACATACATCCCCTACCAAATGTTAAAGCACAGCTATGCTGATTACAGGCCAACAACCATTTTGTTTTTTGATACCAGTCTCTCCACTGATTCGTTAAACAGAATAGCACTCTGGAATTGTCTGTTAAAGAAGGCTGTACATGAGAAGTTGATTAACATGTTGAACGCTATACGAACAAACACCTCAGCCAGAGTGGGAGCATGCGACCACTTCTTCTGTTCAAGCAGTTACATTAAGGAGGGTTGCTCAATCTCTTTATTCATCCTCAACTTCATTATCGATGACATTCTGGAAACATCTCTAGTGAAGATAAGTAATGATGGTGTGGAGCTATTTCCTAGAGAAAGAATTTCCGATCTTCAACCATGATGATATTGTCTTACTGTGCGAAGATATTTAAGCCATCCAATCAGTACTTAATCAGGTGACAATCAGTGTTCGTAGGTATGGCATGTGCTTTGCGCCTTCTAAGTGCAAGTACTTTTGCAAGATAGACAGCCGCCTGCGTCTGCACTCAGTCCTATTGATAAACAATTAGAAGTAATCAGAAAGTTCGTGTATCTGATTAGTTGTGCGAGTGCTAGTAGTAGCGTGACTGGTGCGATCATTCTACGTATAATCACAACACCATGTTATTAATGCAGAGGTTTGGCAACGTACGTTCGGGCAAAATGACTTCAATTGGATTCACCATCCTGAAACATCGACCACGATGGCTCGGACATTTGATAAGAGTATCCAAACTGTGCTCTATTTCTTGGATGTTTGGACCCATTGAAAAAAGTGGAGAAGCGGTTGGTTTATGTGGCATGGTCCCGAGGTATGAAAGAGATCTGTACAGGATTGACATCTCTCAGTCCATCACAACCTCCTGGTTGGGGTCTGAGAGATGGTGCAACACAGTGGGTTAAGACGTTAGCAGATATGACTCACAATATGAGCCAGTAGCGGCTCTGAGGTAATTCCCTTCTACTTTTTCACAAAACAATGAAAGTGGCGTCACCTGGGAGGATTGTAATTCTAATCACGAACCTAAGTTAGACAACCACCGAAAACTTGGGAGCACCATATGAGCGTTTCGTTCTAGTATAGAACTCTCGAAGTGCGTATCCCTAGTTTTAGCAAGAAAATACTTAACCCCTAGACCCCTGAGTCGTGGTTCAATGATGTGCAAGTCTAACTTCAAGCTATTAGCGACATTGCGCGACCATCTTGCACTGCCTTTTGCGTATACATTACTCACACGCAACATGGTCGAACACTGGTCACAATTTCTCACTGAGGTGAAACGGCTGTTCAGTGCTCCCACGTTTTCAATAGTTGTCAAATTTAGATCGATTAGTGATCTCAATAGGCTCTGAACAATTGTCACTACACACTGAAAGGATTGACAGTGTAAGTTAACAAAGAAAAGTTGATCAAATATTTATTACGCGTGGAATTCATCTATAATCCAGGGCATACAGAACATTACAAATCCATTTGTTTTCAAGTTCCTCAAAAGGTATGTGTTTGATATGTTGAGCCAGTCAGATTTAGCCAAAGGAAATGGTCACTTGATGACGACCTGAATGCCAAATGCATATCATTGGCCAAGAAATTGATTAATATTGTATGGGATAGTTGAGTACATACGTACATACCTTCTCGCTGAAGTAGCCACGAGGAGAGGTTATCGTGTATTACATCGCCGCTGTAGACGAACTTGATGTTCTGTCTCACAACTTTGTGCTTATTCTCTTTATACTACAGTAAAAAACCTACAGAAATTTTTGCTACTCAAACTTCTTTAACTTGTGATATATTTGTCTTGAAATTATTAGGCGACCTGAAGATGATTTTATTTCATATGCAACATTTGTTAATAAGCAATGAGAAATTTTTAAGTTGCATTCACTTTCTGGCGAACAATTTAAGTGTCTCATGTTTATATGCGGGTTACAATCATCGTCAGACTCAGATTGTAATTTTAAGCAAAATAAAGTCAGATCCCATTCTAGTTGCTGAACTGTGAGGCATGGCATTACACCCGTTTCTGCCTATTCTATAACCATAAATGAGCAAAATATAAAGTAATTGGTCATAAGGAGGGATTTTACAAACGCAAAATATCGTCGTCGCAATATCGAATCAACTACGTACATGTTCTGTCAAAATCTAACCCCCTAAACTTACGCAAACATGTAACTATTAATGTTAATGAACCCTATAAAGTACCATAAGATGCTAAAAATGTGAATCTTTAACATATAGGTAAATTTCAAACACACGTATGGAATTCATGAGAGAAGGATAGTGGATATTTTGTAAGTCGTTTTAACAGTATATCTGAAGTCGCTTCTAATCTTTACCTAGAATAAGTACATTTTAGGCCAGTCCATTTTTTCTGATATCTATATGTCCTTCAAATGACCCAAATTCATTTTATGGAGTGTTCATCATCTTCAAAACCTTCTTCCAATCTAAAAATTTCCACCAATGTATCATAAACTGATAAGTATTGGTATCAACATTCATTTCGAAATAATCCTGTGCACCATATGGCTTGATAATCTACCCCCTAATATACACATGCTACTTACATCTTAATCGAGTGTAACAACTGATAAAAGATGTGTAATAACGTTACACAATGGTTGATAACACCAGATGAATTATTTGAGAACTTATTTTTAATTTAATATTAAGAACAGATGAAACTCAATACAAAATAAATATTCAGCTTTTTTTCAAATTTCGATGGGGATATCTATTTCTTCTTTCCTTATGATTTCATCATTCATAACGTGATGTAGCAACTTGAGATGATGCACTTTCGTTTTATATGACTAAAATTGATTCTAAATTTAAATTTAGAAAGTGTAAAAAACACTTACGCACAGACTTTCAATATATACACAATCACAGCAATAACAAGGAAATTTAAAAATTATCGTATTTTCTTTTATTCATTTTTAGAAATACTTCTCAGACGAAAAGTACCAGTTTAATGAGGCTTCAGTGCATCC